GGAAATAGCTGTCAAAAACACATTTGTTTTTTGCGGGGGGATAAATAGCTTTAGTTCCTGTGAGCCCACTTTAGTTCTTTTTCTCAGCATCTGAGAATAAAAGGAAAGGCAAAAATTCCATGAGCCCACTGGAAGTAGGTAACAACTCAAGTCCTTGCTATTGCATAAAATCCCTGGAATAAAGGAGGAGAGAGCCCTAAGCCATATTTAGAAAAAAAATTAAAATAAATTTTATAAGCATGAGTTATAGAAACAAGAATAATGAGAATAGTAACCTCTTAGAGTAAGAGAAAAGTTTTGAGCAGTCACATCATTTTTCATAAAGAATACTGGTGCACAAACACACTTTGCTGTCTTGATGCACTAATATTAGCTCACCAATTCAAAATCCTGCATTGACACTACTGTAGAATTAAAAATGTGTAACTCTCAGACCCCAAGGTCATTTGGCCAGAAAAGATTAGACTTGTTCCATCCAGCCAATGTGTCTGTAATGGAGCAGCGCTCCAGAGAGAACCAATAGTCTTGTTGACTGCATAAGATATGAGTCTGGGCAGCAGCGAGATCTCATCAGGCTTTGACCTTCACTTAGGCTGGCTGCATTGTCTTTTGTTCCATTTAGCATGACTCTTAAAGAGCAAAGAGGCAGACAGTATTCCTGTATATTCAATTATACTCTGAACTCAAGGCAAACCAAGGAAGCCAAGCCCTAACTAGTCACACTGGTTCCCATACAGATAATTTCAGCTATTTCAGAACCTTTAGAAGACAAGCCTTCTTATGTCATTTTTATATTTGATATATAAACTGTGTTTCTTTTTTCTATCTTTTTTATTATTCCCATTCATGTTGACAAGTCACTTGTCTGTGAGGATCTTCAAACAACCAACAGAACTGCCCACCAGATCAGAGGCAGTGACTAGTGGTCTGGATTCCTATATGCTTCCATTCTACCATTTCTGAGGCCTGATAATTTTAGTAGGCTCTTATTTGAACCTAGTCCTGAACTGAAATGGAACAGCAAGGATCTGATTACTGTGGGTTGTCGCAGGGGCACCAGAGATCAATAATGGAACAGCAGGGAAAATGGCACATTACATTTGAGATGCAGAACACATTGTTTGTGTGGGAGCAGAAAGCTGGTAATGCACCTACCCACCCATCACCAGACCTAGTCCTAGCCAGTTCCATCAGCCTATTTTCTCAGCGCTAGCATTTACTATTTAAAGTTTTTTAAAAATCTGTTTTCATGTTTGTTCCTTCCTACTGTCTCTTGTAGACATCCTCTTTTTCCCCTAACATGACTGGCAATTGTGAAGTGAGGGGTATCACTGAGTCTTGGTGGAAACCAAGGTTGCTGGATACTAATATAGCTGGGAGAATGGGTTTAAAAAAGAGCCAAGCATTGATGGTCTCAGAAACTGCTTCTCTCCCCCCCACACAGAATCAGTACCAGCAGAATCTGCTTGACTCCCTTTCATGGAAGATAAAGGGAATGACCAAATTCCGTATGTTGGTCAAGAAGATGGCTAGACCAATAAAAAGGATGTGCATGCATGCACGTGTGTTGTTAATGGAGTTATACTGGTCATTCAACAGTGAATTTAAACACGTGAGTATACTTTTCCTGCATTGTAAGTGGCAGAGACAGGAAAGCAAATTTCCTAAACTTCATAACTTGATATAACTTACCTTTATAAAAGACTCCCATTTCCCGTGTTCATCAAAGAAACTATTTCAAGAACTCCTGAAAAGAATATTCACTTTTCGTGCGTTACGCTGTTGTAAATCAGAATTCCAAGGACTGGACAAAGGCCTATTAACAATAAACAAACAAACAAACAACTCCCCCCCCCCCCCAAAA